CACAGACAGGGTCGTCCCAATATGCGTTTTTGCAATTTGCATATAGGCAAAAACGCATAAAAAGCCCTAATCCAAATAACATGCTAATGAAGAATATTCATGAATAACATGCAAATTTCCGCTTAGTAGAAAAAATTTGCTTACTGGACCATTATAAATTGATAAAGCGCCGGAAGGATGATTCAGTGTACGAATGTTCCGACAGGAAGCGGCTGGGTTTACGGATGATTCTCGGTGCCGAAGGGACTTATGGTTGGTGGAGCAGAATTTTTGCGCCAATGCGTTGCAGAGAACAAGGAACCGGGGCACTCTTTTCGACTGGTGCCAGAATATTCCGGCTGGTGGCACCAGCTTCTTCATTGCCCGGAATTTTTTTTTGGTGCTACAAACTAGACTGCAATTGGACCGCTAGAGACGAAAGTGACGAACCGGGGTATCCTCTTCGGTTGTTGCCAGAATATTCTGCTTGGGCACCAGCTGCTTCATTGTCCAGAATTATTTGTTTGGTGCTATATAAACTCGGCTGCAATTGGAGCGTAAGAGAAGAGAGTGAAAAAAAAAGCTGGATGATGCTTTTTGGCGTTGAGCCACCGATGGCATGATTCGTGAATTTATCTCCAGAACTGAAAATAATCACTATTCCTCGCCATCATTCAGCTGCTGCTATTGACGCCGTGTTACTCTGCGTAAAACCATCCGACAATGACAAAAATACAGGAGGGATGGGCAGTACGAAAATTCGGTGAGATGTGGCGCTTGCGCTAAACTTTTCTAAAAATTTGGCGGATACGACTTGTCCCTAAAATTTTTTTCAAATAAGTTTAGCGAATTTGAAACATATATTTGCTCCTTTGATATGCTATTACGGACGGTGCGACAAACAAACCAGGACAATTTGATATTTGAAAGGAAGCGATATTAAAGCGATCAGGCCTGTGATAATGCGGAAATGCTGTGAAGAAATACTGCAAAAACAATGCTGTAAGAAGTGACCGGTTTTTGACTGAGGAAAATGAAGAACTATTTCGCAAAACAGTAGTTGCCGCGGATGGGCAAAAAGATGTTGTGAAATTGAGAGATGCCAGAAAAATGCCTTCTTCTGTTATTATGGAGGAGGTCAAATCTTGAGCAGCTCAGATTAATCTATATGCTCGGGCTGATACCTTTCCTGAAATATCAGCATATTTTGCTCTGAGCCACTCTCGGATTCACATAGTTCGGTCAAGAATACGAGGCTGGTTGCAGTGGGACAAACGAATTAATATAAATTCGACTGCTCGCCGAAATTCTAAGCACAGCGCTGACAAATGGATGGAATGCTCATCCGCATTATCCGAGAAATCGAAGATTATCACATTTCCTCAATTGTGCCTCCTTGTTGACTCGATCCCAACTTGTGCATTTTGACATTTTGCTGTTATGCTTTTTGTGCCAATAAATTGATTGCGAATATAGTATGCACGCAAAACATCAATCGTTCGAGCAATGGAGTGATTTTTTTGGAAATAAATCTCATCACTTACGCATTAATCCACAATTAATCTTATTAGTGGGGGAAGTCCCCACTTAGTTCATCAAGAAAGCTAAGACCGCCCGGACAGTTGGCTGGGTGAACTGCGTTGCCAAAATGTTTTTAGAGCCAGGCGCAGCAATCCTAGGTTTTCCAACTGTGACTGCCTAACAACGTTCGCTTACTTGTATCTTTCACCTGTTCGCGTTGAATGTGTATCGCTTCTTCTGAGCCGAGATTTTAGCCGCAGGCCATTTAAGATTTAAGACTTTAACTTCGTGGAGACTTAAACAAAACTGAGCTGCGTTTCAACAAAGTCTGTGCTTCAGTTTTCGTCTTAAAACGTTTGGTTATGACTCTCCAAAACGATGGGATCTTGGGTTCTGCTTTGCCTTATACCTTAAATCCGTTTTAAGACGGAGACCGAAGCGCAGGATTTTTTTTTAAAACGCAACTCAGTTTTGTTAAAGTCTCCACAGCAGGGTTATTTTGCCAACCGATTCCCGAGATCAACCAAGCATCGGCTGTCGAAAAAAGAAACCCTCTCTTCCACAAATTAAGGGATATGCACACGACAGCGCCTCTTCTGGGATCATTCAACTGAGCGAATTTTCACTGCTACGGACAAGAAATGATTGTTAGCAATTTAACGATGATTAGTGGAGCAATCAACAACATGTTTGTGATTACATACTATGATCATACATTCGGAAACACACTATTTTAATTTCTTTTACGAACAGGCGAATATTTCACAAAACGATCGTTTGAAAATAATGCATAACACAAAGTACCAATTTTTAGGAATATTTTGAAACCTACCGACTACCCCTGCTTCTTTTTTATGCGTTTTGCGCTGTGTAACAGCAGTACAAAACGCATTTTGT